TTACATTCAAAGTTCAAACCCGTTGTAAAAATGAGATTATCTTGGGTTGTTAGTTGTGCTGAAGTATTTTTTTTAGTAACCAACTAGGGTTTGCAGAGACCATATGTTTATTTGAAATATACAATCTAGAGAATATATAGAAAGCTATGAGAAAATAAATTAAAAGAAATTGTAAAATCGAAAAACTTTTGTACATACAAATATGTAAAAGAAATTATAAAAATTGGATTCGTAAAAAACTAAGTCGTAAAATAAGATATATAAAAGTTAAAAATAAAGTAATATTAAAAAAAACTAAATTCTTAAAATCATATAAAAACAAAGTGAAAAAAATGGACAAAATTTGTAAAAGTAATTAAAAGTTGGGCAGTAATTGTAAAGAAAAACTAGGTTTGTACAAAAATAAAAGTTGGGATGGGCTAGAATTGATTGTGAAATATATATATATATATATATATATATATATATATATATATATATATATATATATATATAAATGGAGTGGTTCTAACCCAAAAAGATTAAGAACCTAGGAATCATTTTTTTAAACGTTTTTCTTAAAAGTATTTTGGATTTATCAAATATTAATATTATATTAAACAAACTTTATATTCCCTAATTTACAACTAGTTGCCACTAGTTGTTGGACAGCCGTCGGACCACTGTTCGACTAATGGTAAATTTAATGGCATTTTCTGGTTATATTCACAGCTTAATAAAACAAATATTGTAGTTCTCATTTCTTTGGTAATTCTTTTTAATACATACAATTTTATTTTTGTAGCCAAATATACAAAATTTTAATTAAAAAAAATAGATTTATGTCTTGATAAACTCAATCTTCTTTTTTTTCTAAATTGTAGATTTCTTTAAAAAATATATTGTGTATAAGACATATTCACAGTTTAATAAACATATTAATTCAGTAACACACTGTTTAATATTTTCATGCATACATTTATTCATATTTTAACACAAAATTTATATAAAATATGCAACTTAATACAATCCATTTTTAGTTTAATATATAAAATTCACAACATAACATAATACAATGAACTATACACTAATTCACATATTTAAAGTTAAATCCAAACTCTACCACCACCACCAACTACCAAACCCCACCACAAACCACCTGTGCCACCTTCACCATCATCCTTCCTTTCAGATCTGTATATATAATCATTGATTGATAGCTTAAATATTATATTCACAATTTAATATACCAATTAAATTACTTATTTAGAGTTTAATGCAAAATAATTATAAAAACTACTACATTCTTACATATTTATACAACACGAAAAACAAATGTGTTCACATGCAAATTAATACAAACATTCATACATAAATCATTCATATTTAACATAAATTTATTAATAATTCATATCTTAATACAGTTAGTTCACAGTTCAGTACATAAAATTCACAGCTTAATATATAAAATTCACAATTTAATACAAAAAATTATACATTCACAACCATATTTTTAACTTCAAATTACACATATACCTTTTGATTTATATGTGAGTGCTTCTTTCAAAGTTTATTTAAGCAAATATTCACAATTTAAGTTTTACATATCTTATTCAAAATTAGATAAAATGATATATGTGTATAGTGTTTCTTCAATCTTATATTTCAGAAGCAAAGAAAATATTTATAAAAAAAATCACAGTTTAATACCAGTCATTTAACATATTAATACAGTCAATTCACAACTTAATACAATAAATTAACAGATTAATATACTCAAGTCATGGTTTAAACAGAAAATTCACAGCTCAATGCAGTCAATTCACTGTTTAAAACACAAAAATAACAACTTAATATAAGAAATTCACATCTTAATGCAGTCGATTCATAGTTTAAACCACAAAATAAACAAGTTAATACAGAAAATTCACAATTTAATACAAAAAAAAGTATGCATTCAAAAGCATATTATCAACTTAAAAATTTTAATACTATCAATTCACAGGTTTAATACAATTAATTCATAGTTAAATATACAAAACGCACAGCTTAATATAGTCAATTTTAGTTTAAACAAGAAATTCACAGCTTAATGCATTCAATTCATAGTTTTAAATACAAATATCACAACTAAATACACAAACATCATAGTTTAATACACAAAAAATATGCATTCACAACTAAATTCATAGTTTAATAATTACCAAATTTCATTGAGGCATTTCATCAAACACCTTGTGTGCATCTTTTTTTCATAATTTTCTTTTGTAAACACCATCAATGTAAACACCATACACACCATATCTAACCTGAAAATGGACAAACACATCAGATCTGATGTCGATTTGGTGGTGTTTTGACCAGAGATAAGAGAGACAGAGACGGAAACGAGTTATAGATGAGAAGGAGGCGACACATAACATATCTGGTACAAATCCGACAAACATTTCGTCGGTGATGGAACATATCAGGGAAAAAAATAAGTTCAAGAGTTTTGGAACAAAACGAGATCAAGATTAACACCTGTAGGTTGAGATGATGACTGCGATTTGTGATTTTTGATGCTGTAACAACTGGCAAACTTGGAGTCGAGCCAAGTCAAATGATGTATTATGTAAAAGTGAAAACCACATTGTAACCTTGATACATTAAATCACCTTTAGCCATGAGGGAATGTTTATATAAGTTATTATATACATATACTTTGAAAACCATGCTTATATAAGTTATATAAATATATATATATATATATATATATATATATATATATATATATATTAAAACCCATGTTGATTTTAGTTTATATAAGTCAACATAAGTCAAAAGGTTGAGTTAAAACCATAAACTAGTATACTACATATGAGATTTCGGTATTTAGAATCTTGAAACAATTAGTTTTCGGTTTTGTGGGGACCAAGACCACATGTGTAGGCCGAAATCTCAAAGCTTGGACCACTAGGGCCGAAAAATCAAAGCCTTGGACCATTTAGGACCGAAAACCCTTTCTTGGATGAAGCCATGACCGAAATCAACATCACATGTGAGTGTGCAAGGGGTTTTCGGCCATATAGAACCGAAATTTCCTTAAATATCATGATATGTTGCCACTTGATTGGTTGAAATTACTTTCCCAAGGTGATAAGTGCACTTACCAATGTAAATATCAACTCACTGTCACTTCTCATCACATTCTCTTATCTCATTCCTTCATATATATATATATATATATATATATATATATATATATATATATATATATATATATACACACACACGAATTGTAGGCATTTCCCAAACCCATTTACAGTAAGCATATTTACTTCAAATTCTCTCTCAATCATCAAGCTTCATATTCTCTCAAATAACAAACATTTTCTCTCAAATATCCCCTGGAGCTATATTTCTTCTGTTCTTCAAGTATTACTATAAGGAGATCATTGTAAGTTCTAAATACTCTAGTGTTTTTGAAAACATTTGATGATCATCCATCTTATTCACACATTAGCATATGTTATAAACTCATAGGATTCAAACATCGTCTCGTACTCTAACTCGGAGATCATCGTTTTATCTCGTTATCTAGCCGCAACCACACTTAAGGTGAGTTCATACCCATACATTTTTCAAGAATTTTTCTATGTTTTGGGGGGGGGGGATACAAGTAACACATAATAATATTTATGTTAAAATAAAAATATTTAAATAAGTTATTCTACCATTTTTACGAAAAGGGTTAAATACGCGAAACGACTTTACTATCAAACGCGTATAATTTTTACGTACAACATTTTTTTAAAAACGTAAAGATATGAAAACTCGTTACAAAATACATTACATTATTCTTATAAATATATATAACTATATATATTTTGAGTACAAAATGTTCATTTCGTTAAAACTTTACAAATATAGTTTACGAAACTTTACCCATTTGTAACCCGTTGAGCAAAGGGTGAAATTATATAAATTGCATATATAATTGTTTTACGACATATTCGACGTTATCCTGGAAATATGGGATAATGTCATTTACAAACGTTTTCAACTTCAAAAACACGTACACTCGTTGAATGAATTTGTGAGACACTGTCTTCATCGTACCTAACTGAGGTATATAGAAAGTCATGTATTTATAATCGGAATCTCCGATACGAGAGTGTGATACTTGTGTATAGATCTATACGGGACTGATGATCCCACGCCCTGGTTGTTAGCTATATCCAGACCGGCAGGTTATGGGTGACAAATGTTATAAATAACTCGGCGCCTGAAGAACGACGAGGCAGGCACTACATCTTAAAAGCACGATTATGAAAACTCACATGGGGAAACAACTATACGTGCATTTTACACAAAAACACATTTCTTCAAAACGGTTTTATACATGAATAGAGCCACATATTACTACTTTAAGTATGGAAGACACCGGTACATTTCAATCTTGGAACATTTAAGACTACAATTCATTTCTACGGAAAATATTGGATTTTCTGGAATAAACACTATCATTTACAAGTGAACGTCTTACATCTCATTTATTAGAAAATATCATATTTTCTGGAAACAACAGGACATCTTTTCACGGAAAAGCTTACTATTTTTCATATAAACTCTTATTAACTCACCAACTTAATTGTTGACACTTTTTCAAACAACTTGTATTCTTAGGGAATCAGTAAAACAGGTAACCAACAGCTTTTGAGGATGGGCGTTAAGGCGTCAAACAAATCTTTTGTCATCATATTGTAATTGACTTTTGAAACATGTAATACTTACAATGATGTAACTTTTTCAATTATATATATGATGGTTATGTTTGCTTTCTTTACTATTACACAACTGTTATGATACAATACATGAAAGTCATCCACCCCTGGACGTTTCCGCCATCCTGGTTTGGGGGTGTAACAGATGCTCCGACAACGACACCAACGGTGGGGGAACAGATCCGATGTAGATCCAACGATGGAATGATGAAATAGAAAGAAAAACCTTTGTATAATAATAGCAACTTCTCAGATCTACATCAGATCTGAATTAGTCTGGTGTAAATGAAGATAAAGGCAGTCTCCGGTGGTTGTTTGAATAAAGAAGTAGATCTGGAGGTGGCCGGACATCTGGAGGCGACAAAGAGCTTCATACTCCGTCACATCTGTTATTCCGACGAAGCAGATCGAAGAGTTTTTCTCGTGCTTCAACAGATCTGAAACGTTGGAGATCTGGAGAAGAAGCATATTCAGACCTCAAAATAGAGTGTAGTGTTTTCTAGGTGCTCCAGCAAAGAAAAGCGGCTCATGGAAGGCGATAGTCGGTGAGATAGATGACGGTGGAAGGAGGCGGCGCTCGGTGGTGATGGCAGATCTGAAGTCGGGGGTTCTAGATCTGAAGACGAATGCACCAGATCTGAAGGTGAATGATTCAGATCTGAAGGTGGCGGCTCCAGATATGAAGATCGTTGTATTTCGGCGACAGCGACGGTGCCGGCGATGGTGGTGGGGGTCGGCAGCGGTAGGAGGTAAGAGAGAGAGAGAGAAAAAAAAAGAGATGAGAGAAAGGTTGTCTTGTGAGATAAGATTGATCAAATAGGTCTGATGATTTAAGTTATAAGGTAAAAAGAATGGTTGTTATAGTTCTTAACTTTTTATGGTTCTCATTTGAACCTTTATATATATATATATATATATATATATATATATATATATATATATATATATATATATATATATATATATATATATATATATATATATATATGACAATTATACCCCTAAATAAATTAAACATAATGAAGTGAGAGAAAATCAAATGTTTCCAAAAGCCACACGTATAGGCGATGCTTCAGCCGACAATCCTTCGTCGATGCAATTACTTGTAATCACCACCGACCCTTTTATGGCTTTAAATTATGCTCTGATCCTGATGACATTGAGTTTCTGATCCTGATGACATTGAGTTTTCTACTGGTTTATGTGTAATATTCTAATTTCTAATCATAAATATAGTAAAGTAGAGAAAGAGCTTTAATCTTTGTTCATTGGCTTATGATATAAGGTGATAATTTGTGTATTAGGTTATGTGTGTTTGGGAATCAATAAACGGATTGATGAAGTTATTTGTTTATTAACTTTTCTGCTTTATTGTTTTTCTCTAATTTCTGGATATAATCTTGACGAAGATGAATGATGGACTTTGTAAACTATTGATATCCAAATCAAACAATATTATTGGAAATTATTCAAAATTGATGAACAATATTGCAACGGAGTTTTGCAAATGCTCAAGGTAGTAGTCATGTCCATCATTAAAAGCATGGAAGAGGTACGAATGTATTGTTGAATTGAAGGAAGGAGGTAAACGTTGGCTTCATGGTAAGTTTTTGGAAACAAAAATATATTTTCTCTCTCTCTCTCTCTCAAATATTTATAAATTAAAATTAGGGGTATAAAAGTGAAGGATAAAAAGCATTCAGTGGAAAAATCACCACCCATATATATATATATATATATATATATATATATATATATATATATATAGATATATATATATATATATATATATATATATATATAATGTCGAAATATAAGGTTCTACACATGAATTTAATAAATTATTTGACATTTTCCATTAATCCTGATATCAAAAATATTTTTCGATTTCGAAAATAATTACACCGTTGTAATCATTATTAACGACCAAATTGCACGGAAAATATCTGTAATTTATTTCAATAAAACAAATGATAAATTACGGAAAATCGAGAGGATAATATGAAAATTCCAATCAACAAAAGAAATAAACTTTAGGATAGATTATGAAACAAAATAGAATGTTAGCAGGGGCAGAATTAGAAATTTTCATAAGTGGTAGCGCAATTTTTTTCCCTATAAAACTAAATTAGATAAAAAAATGGCGATCATCAAAGATAAACAAAACACAAACTCATCAAGATTTTATCAATAATAATATATAATAATAGGAGAGCAGCTATATGGAGTTGGAAGAACCCAAAAAAATCATGATCATCCTCACTAGTCCCAAAACCCAAAATCACAAGCTCAGTTGGTATCAAATCCAAGAAACGCTAGAGTACCAATTTATAATCATATTTTAATAGTTCTATGTAGTACAATTAAGAACCAGAGGGGAATCATGCGCGCTGTTGGCGCTGTGTTTGTTTTTTTTCCTTATTTCAAGCTGTATCAAATGGTAGAACATAATATAATATTAATCAAAACATATTACATATACAGAAGGGGTCTTCACATGACAAACAAATCATTGAAAGTATGTTGCTATTTAGTGTATTTTACCTTAGAAAAGAACCCAAAAAGTAAAAATGTTTTGAGATGATTTACCATTTGTTGCAAGCAACGACCAGAAGAAACAATATCTACAAAACCACCGTATGCTGCATCAGATCATAACCCCAATTTTATAAATTATACATAGCAGAGCACAGCAGTGGTCAAAGGGTATTTTAGTCATTTACATAAATCAGAGTATGCCAACCGGGATACGATTTTTGCAGACCATATTGTCGGTTATTGGTAAAAAATCAAAACAAATTTAAAAAAACAGAAAAAAGGTGGAAAGGCAAACTATATTGCTATGTTAGTGCATTTTACATCTAAAAACGAAAAATCCACGTAATGGCGATGTGGTATTTTTTGGTAAAAAACATAGAAATGTATTAGAGGCAGGGATGTCGTTGGTGCTACTTTGAATAATGTTTGGAAACAGAAAGCTGGAAATAATTTCTACATTTAATGAGACAATGAAAATTTTAAAAAAAAAAAAAAACTAAGAAAATACAAAGAACAAAATGGTCCATTCCATTCCATCTCGCAACGGAATGAACAGTTTCATTCCTTCGTTGAATATTTGAAGCAGGAATCTCAACCAATTCAAAACGTACCATGCAGCCAACTTTAAACAGTCAAAACGTACCATGCAGCCAACTTTAAACAGTCGTAACTTTCACATGCGATCTCCAAATAACTTGAATCAAGTTGCTGCACCTTCCTCTCGCATTCGACTGCATGTTTGAGTCAAGAATGAACTGATTTGGAAATATATAACTTGAGTTATGCGGCTGTAAAGATGTCAACTAACTATTTTAAATTTCCACCCTAAGAAAATTTTTCCATTTCCAGCAGAAAGCATAGATAACATTAGATATAAACAACCACAAACACAAATGAAAATGAAATGAAATGAAATATATATACTGAATGCATTACCTTCAAAGCATTTGAAAATTTCATTATTTTCGTTCAATAAGTCCATCACGTACCGCACTTTCACGCCATTCTATGTCTCATAAGCCATTTCAAGCATAGAAAATTGCAAAACGAAATATTTTACTTTCGAATATGTCACCAGAAACATCCAATTCATGAACCTCAGAAGAAATGGTAATAAGATAGTAAAATGGTAATGATGTTGAATTGGCAATTAACAATGAAAAAAACAACATAAAAGTTGTAATTTCAGCAAAAACATATAAAAGTTAGTCTGTAAATAGATGAACTTACATTATCATTATGTTCGACCTTCTTTCCTTGCACCACGTCTACAAAACTCTGCGAAAGGGTTAAATTTTTTATGAATAAAAGATTGATGTTAAAAGCTGAAAAAATGAAAATGGGAAGGAATGGAATCTATACCATGTTCCTCTTTCTCCTCCTTCTTGTAATCATGCAAACAGAAAACACCAAAATTTCCTAATCAATAAAAAATATAGGAAATCTCACTTTGATCAATAAATTAAAAAAAAAAAAATGAACATGAAATCACTTTGTATAAAGTTATACCAATTGGAATTGTACATTTTTTAGCAAAGCTTCTTTTTCTATTCTCTCACTACTTTTGAACGAACTGGTGCTGCATGTGTTGGCCTGGTGGTGTGTGAACCGATAACTGACAATTTTGAGTTCTCATCAAGGGTTGTATAAGTTAATATGCACACGTTCTTTGTGTCAGTTCTAAATGAAATGTAGGTCTAATCCTGCAGTAGACGCGAATGTTTCCTGAAAATTTAAAGATTGTGGAAGGTAAAGACAACATTTTAGTAATGTTTAAATTCTCCCAGAATCATCTTCAGACCCACTTGAATAACACTCAATCAGGTTTTCATGTTTTGAAGTAAGAAGATATAAACTTTATCATAAGCCCAAAGTCTTTAAAAAAATAGTTAAGGGGTATTTGTGTAATTTACCGAATTTGGTAGACTGAGTTTTTGATATTCTGTTGGGCATTGAGAAATAAAAGGTACTTGAATGGCTTTACCAAAATCCACACCATGTTCTTCAACAGAGTTAGTGATTATTTGATGTTGACAAAAAGGGGTTAATTCCATTCTGGTTTGTGCAAACTGGGGTGGGAGGTTCCCTTAGATTTTGAAAAATCTTCAAATTTATCTACGGTTTCAACTCGCTTCCAAAAGTGTTGCCAAAGAAGTAATTTTGCCATTCGGATTTCGGAATGGAATCCGTTGGTGAATTTTGTATTCCGAAATTACCCTTTATCACTGAAAAAGAAACGAAAATGTATTGCTTAAATTCTTAACACCTGCTCAAATTTATAAACAATAGAAAAAAATATTATACCTGTAGTGGTTGGAAGATGAATGGTTTGTATGAATTGCTTCGTCCTTTACCATTAAATCCTTTTTATTAGAAAATAAAAAAATAAAAAAAAATTAATCATTGTAAATTTACAAAATATAGTCTCACCTGAGTTGCAAGGCTATAGGTTTTAGCATTTGTGTTGGTTTGCATAGTTGTTTATCACAAGGCGTTTGTTCAATGCTGGGCAATGGTGTTTTTCCATGAAATTGGGGTGAATTCCATGACCTATGTCTGCTAAAACTGCAATAAAATAAAACAAAACACTTTTAATATATACAAATTATTTTTGACACAAAAGCTGTAAAATTTATGCAAACCAAGACATCGTTGACGAATTGCATGCTGAAAAACACCCTATCTGACATATTTATTAGCCAAACAATCAATTATCGCGTCATAGCATCAACATAAGATGAATATGAGACCATGTGTTTTAGCGTATACGATTGCCACTAAAAGTCAAAGAGCGTTGCACAATCAATCAATTTTTCTTACTACGACAAAAATATGAACCTAAAAAACAACATAAAATCCAAAACGTTGAAAAAAACTTTTAAATGACCAGGGGCATAATGGTCAATAAACGGCTTTCACTACCATATTATTAGTTTTTTTTTGCTACTAAAGCTCATTTCTAATCTCGTCAATTTACGTAAAAAATACTTCTTACCTGCTGAAACAGTTGCAACTCAAACATTCATCTCAAATAGCTGCAAAAAGAAGGAAAATAATGTATAAAGTATAAACATAAAAACATCTATTCATCTTATGCATAAAAAAAATTCACGTTTTCCATCTTTTCCTTAACATCAAAAAGAAAAAAGAAAAAAAATGCAATATTTAGAAATGATAAATATCAAAAAAAAAAAAAAAAAGAAGGAAAAACTCATGTTTTACCTGCATAACAATGTATGTGGAAGCCTCGTTCACATCCACCTATAACCAAGGGTTGTAAGATGAATTCAAGGTTATTAATTTCATAGAGTCATCCGATTAATTTCATAGAGTCATCCTGTCTGGATAAGCATATCCAAGAATTCACCCACTTAAATTTTTCACAGGGTAGAAACAAATATAAGTTTAATGTAAAAGAAGAGATAGATGATACAGTTTACCAAGTAGAAACACAATCTTGACCAGATTTTTCATTGAGGAGTTTTGTCAAGCAGTTGGTGTTCAAAACTTAAAAAGAACAAAGAATAAAATCAATAAGATTTAAAAACACTAAAAACTGTGAAATTGAGAAATAAATGGTGGAATCAACCTGCTACTACACTCTTCCATGTCTTCCCTCGCCTTCCGTCTCCCCCAAAACCAAATTACCTGATGGCAGTTGTGTTCGATGGTCATCCGTTGCAGCAACAACCATTGGCGATAAGAGCGCGCAAGACCCACACTTCATATAACTTGATGCAATCGTTGACTGAGATAACACCCTGACATCATCTTCATCTTCCTGCCCTGACTGAGTTCGTCGGTTTGGTATTGAAGTGAAAGAAGACTGAGATCGATGTTCAATATGAACAATCCATTGGGTTATCCTACAAAAGTGAAAGAAGGCGGTGACCTGAATTCCTGAAGAAGTGGTTGCAAGTCCAACTGTTACGCCTGAAGCCGATGGAGAAAACGGAAGAAGCGAGAAGCTGTGGAAGTGAGCGATTAGAAAGTCTGAAGCTTCAAATAACTAATCCGAAATCGGAAATCAGAAATAGGAAAATCAGTTTAACCTGCACCTTTCTCCAGTGGGCTCCGATTAGCCTCTCCGGTGGTGCATCAGCGGCCGACCTACCTGTTTTCCATTTGTATGTTTTTGGGCTGCAATATATAAACCCTAGAAAAAGAACCAAAGACAAACCTGAAATAGCGGGGAAGGACGGAGGCGGAAGTAGGAAGATTGAATTCGAGGAATGGAAGCGACCACGCAACTCGAAGCTCACTTCCATTTTCCCCCTTCTCTTATTTCGGAGTTGTAAGTTACATGTAGAATATGAATCACCACATAAACATCATCAGGAAAGAGAATTAGACAGAGCATATTAAAATCACAATAAAATCCAAATAGAAACCATACCTAGACGAAGAACACTGAAACAAATGGCAAACATGCAATCGAATCAGCCAACATAGGCCTGTGCCCGACCGAGAAATAGAGGATCGTCTCATCCGGGACGCCATGGCGCCGATGCAAATAATTCCTTCTTCGTCTTCCCCATCTTTTTTCAAAACCGTCGGTGGAACCGGCAGGTAATACTGATTTTGGAGATATTTAAGAAAAACGCAAACGAACGGTATTGGATGAGAAGGGCGGCAACCGTCTTTGAAGAAGAGAAGATAAAGGATGATAAAATGTATACCGGGTTGCGCGAGAAAAGAAGAAACGGAAGTTTTAGTGCCAAAATAATAAAGCCAAAGAATCCCGTGTCAAAATAAGAAAGAGAAAAAACTTTACTGTAACTAAGGGTTTTAGGAATTGATAGTATATATAATGTGAGTGAAACACAAACAAACTTACGTATCTTGTAAGCTTCTTCGGATATTGTACTCTAATCAAAACAAGTTATCTTTATAGTGTATGTGGTCTTTGGCACTCTACAGACAGGGAGATGGATGAATAACAGTTTTATAGATACTAACTTTCTTGCATCATTGCCTTATTCTATCTTCAAAATATGTGCACCAGACATCACTTCAACACATAAACCATGGTTACTTGTAAGGACTCAGGAAGCCATATGATACAAACATGGTCAAAAATGTTGTTCTTACCAAATAAAACTATTTTTTGGCCGGTAGAAGGCAAAAAATCCAACAGTCAAAAGCTCTTCAAACTACAACTCAAAAGTCCTCCAAACTACAACTCACAAGTAGAAATGAAGAAATGAGCATAAAATTTATATCCATCCAAAATAGATTATGTATATGAAACAGATGACAATCAACATCAGTGTTCCAAATCGGCGACACCAACACTCCCATTAGACATTCACATCGCCCTGGTGGAAGTTTTTTTCATTGAGAAATTTTATCGAACACTTGGTGTTCATACAAGAATAAAGAGAGCAAGTCCAATATTATGTACTACACCATTGGGTAAAAAAGCAAAAGATAAGAAATCAAAATCCCAAGAACGGACATCAGTTGGCATTTATACAAATTCAGATTGTTGGTTTGGACTTGACATCGAGCCAATTTCTCCAAATTGATATTAGGAGTAGGACCTTATATATCATCAAGGAGTAGCATCTTGTAACATCTTGTATTATCATCGGCATCATACAAAAAAATTTGCACGTCTTGAAAAAATATAAGGGGTAACACGTGCTACCCTGACTCTATGCTAGTTCTTTTCCTGAATGTTATGAACTAACAATATAACATTTCATTTTAACACCAATTAAAAATGAAATTTTTGAAAAAGTGTAATATGAAATTTTCAATTAAAAAATGGAGTAGTATATGAAATTAGACAGAAAAGATCATGGACTACAAATGTAATATTATATTTTCAAAGAGGGTGAAGGCAAAAAGCAAGGGAAATTGAATAATCTAACCCATAAACGATCTTTTTACCAAAAATGACCAAATTTTTTTTTTTTTTTGGTAAAGTAACCACATTCTCCGGAACACATTGTTTCGGAGAGGTCTTCGGAATTCCGGAGTACAATTCCAGACCATGGTTCTGGAATACATTTGACTTCTTTTTTTTATATATAATATGTATAAGTTTTGCTTTCATAAAATGTATAAGTTTTGGTTTTATAAAATATAAAATGCAATTAAAATAAACAAACAACTAATAAATACATAAACTAAATAAAGGATGTGTGTATGTCATATTATAAATTCGATGTTCAAATTATCTTTGCCCTTGTACCCCAAAATATTTCCGCTAGTCGTTTTCTATAACCCATAGCCCATGGACCGGTGGTTTTACCCTCTATAGAAATCCATTTCCCGGTGATCAACGCCTCTTGGAACCAACACAAAAATACCCCACAATCTCCTCTGCTGTCAATCTATTATGGTACGTCTGAGGCCTTTTCGAGGGTCATCTTAAAGCTCTCGAGTGGGATTGAATCGGTTGGTTCGGTACCCCAGTAGTTGACTCCCACTAGCAGTTTGTGGATGCAGGTTCTCATACCTATAAGCCAATCCTCATTTTCCGAAAAGTAGTCGCGCTTCCAATGACTATCGTATATAGTCATTTGGAATGTCTTCAAATCCAAAGCACCCAAAAACCAATGATCATTTGGTATATTAATTGGAATGTAAAGCTACAAAAAAATATTAGAAATAGTTAATTAGTATATAAATACTCAGGTAATGTAATCCAACCAAAATTATATTGTATCACACTCTGCCCAAGCTGAGTAAACGGATCTGCCAGCCATGTCACTCCAGTCAAATGTATCAGTGTTGAAAGTTGACAACACAACCGTCCATTGAGCATCATCCACTCTATGCTCTACCAGCAATGAGATCCACATCATGATGTGTTGGTAATTAATTTTTTTTTGCAGTAAAGTAAGTATTGTTATTAGAATCATATTATGTAATAAGCAAATAATTATATTACTTACATCACATGACAACCATTATCCATGACTATCTACATATAACTGTGTCCAAAACTCAAGCTTAGCAAAACTGGTCAAATAATTGTGACCAAACAAAAGCGAGTCATCACGTTCTTTATAAACAGTGTGTACGGTAGGATCTAAAAGATTGTCCAACAGTGCTAGTTGTTGACGTGTAACACCTTTCCTCTTCATTTGTATCCATGGCAACTTATACCATATGGACATAACTTTTTGGCACTTAGAACGCCTAAGAGGTGATGACGACAGTGTTTTGTATTTATCTCGCGGAATCTCTTTTACATCCGACGAGTGAATAACTGGAGACGTCTGCTCAGGGCCGACATTCAACAGCTGTTCAGGGCCGTCATTCAGCGGGTATTCGGGGGTGCTTAAGACATAATCATGCTCCCATAACTCATTGTCATTGTAGTATCCCTGAACGGTTCAATAATGTATATTTGTAAACGATGCAAAAACATAACGACCATAAACGATGAAATAATTAAAAATATACCTACATCCCCTTCGACATACCAACATCGCCTCTGTGAGTCTTATTGATAAGTTTTAGAACCATGGCTAAAGTGGCCTCATGCTCTACTAAATGCTCCTCCTGAGACCGCAACTGCTCGCGACATTCACAAACCTTATTTTTCAATTGACCGACCTCGTTCTACAAGTCACTAATAATTCGATCCTTATCAGTTGATGGGTCAGTGGCTGGCGGTGGTAGTGGTGGTGGGTGAGATGGATCATATATCTGTGCCTTCTTTTCTCGAGGCTCATGGGTAGGGCAGTTTTTGGGTGATGGTGTTAGGGAAGGTGCCCTGTGAACTTCAGTGTCGGGAAAAGCAGAGCGATGAATCCACGTCGAGCTAACAATCCACCATTCAGCACACATCTCATCTTCTGTCGGCTCCAACTTTTGTACGAGTCTATTACCCTGCTAACAAAATTATAAAATTATAAATAAACATAAATTATGAAATAAATAAATAGTAGTTAGAATGTTAGCAAACAAATAAATAAATAATAGTTAGAATGTTAGCAAATAAAAATAAATAATAAATTGTTCATCATATACTTACCTTAAAAGCGTATAAAAAGTCGTGTAGGTCAATTTTTGAGGTTCGTTCTCTTTCGGTTCTTTTGTATGTATAAGCTTGTCAACCTTATTGAATACAGTACAAAGTTGTTTGTACAAGGGATCCCAAATTATCCTCCCCTATGGATATCTGCTACATAAAAAGTTAGTTAACGATTAAATTTCTAAAAAAAATTAGTAACGATAAGTAATTATAATCAATAATTATAAAATAGACGACATTATACATGTTGAATTCATCAAGATTGGATAGCAAAGCGAAATACTTTTCTGTAACAGGTTGTATAGACAACTGCCCATTGAAACCCTTCTCTAACAAGTATAGAAGACATACACGGACTGCGTCCTCGCCCGATAACTCATTAAGTGAATTTTGAAACACCTACGTAACATGGTCTAATTTGACCGAGACATTTTTAAGGACTATAGGAAAGGTACGGGAATGGAAGGCGACGCCGGATGCAGAAGTAGGAAAATATTCACCAAACTGGAAGCCGGTGATGAGACAAGATTCTTTCTTCCCGAAAGACAGCTCGTAACCCCCAATCTCAAAAACCATTTCCTGTACTTGGCTTCGGGGATCGATGAAAACTTTGTGGCAAAAGACGTAATGTAGAAGCAAAGGATCCCCATCTACATTAGGAATGTCTAACCACCTCCCGAAACATGTATTCTGGAACATAGTCTTGCACTCGGGTCTGTTTCTGAATGTCGCAAGAATTTCCCCGCCGATTTTGGGTTTACACGATAGTGTAATTGATGCATCAAAAATCATGTCGTGCAGCACAAATAAAAAAAATGTGTTATCACTTCATTCTGACCAATATTTCGGACCAGATTCGGACCTGTCTTCATGTTTCGGACGTGTTCATCGTGTTCCGGAACAGTTCTTCGCGTTCCGGAGGCTTCCTGAATAAAATTTTAAGTTCTGGAACACAACATTTAGATGTAAATCAACAATACCTAAACATTAAACTACTTTTCAGTTGGTCCTACAGCAATGACATATTTGATTTAAACTTTGGAACGTTTTCAATTCATTCCGGAGGTAGTCTACGAATTCCGGAATAGTAACAGTAGAAAATTAGGAATCTTAAACAAACAAAGAGAAAATGACGAACGTACCTGTAAAATAACGGGGTCGTAGTGCTCATCTTTCATGTCGAAGATGGGTGTCGATGCGCGTCGGAGATGGGAGTTGCGTTGCGTGTTGGAATCGAGTCGGAACGTCGGAATCGGAATGCGCCTTTCCGGAATAAATCGCCGCTCAAATTATATTCCGGATTTTGAAATTCAAAATCCTGATCCGGAACATATACGGTTGATCCGGAATAGACATTCTGGATCCAATGCAATGGGTCGGGCCACCCGAAAAATAATCTGAAATTCATTCCGGAATGACCTATTCCGGAATATGTGTTTATTTTGCAAAAAAAAATTATATTTAAAAAAAATGGTTAGATTACTCAATTTCCCCAAAAGTAATTGTATGAGTAAAAATGTCACATACCAAAAATCTAATATTGTGTCTTCTGAACGTTTCTTAAGTACATATGCCATAAACAGAATCATTAATCATAAACCTAAAATCAGAAGTCTTAACTAAAACCATCTCCTTAGTTACATCGATTTTTCGAAGTATAGCAA